CTTCTAGCAGCTCCCAACAGCTTCTAGCAGCTCCCAACAGCCTTCCTTCTTCTTTTCCAGTTCTGCATCTTATGCCGCTGCCAACAGTCCCCAGGTGGGCCTTCCACACCCAGCACCATGCTTCAGCTGGGGGGTTATAAGCTGACCACCAGGTGTCAATTCACTTCAATGGTGAATAAGTAATTTCCCCTACACGCAATTCACAAAAAGAATACTGAGATTTCACTCCATACACAGTCTGATTCCAGGCCCATTAAACATTATGTATACTACTGTATAATTCTAGAATGAATTGATACAGAAATTCATTCCAGACTTTCAGAGAAGGAAATATTTCAGCCGTAACTCAGAGAGGATTTGATTTGCCACCTTAATAGCTACATCAATTTGAGTGTATCTTTTTACTTTTCTGGAACTTCATCTTCTTTACTAATATGTCAGTAAATAGTATCAGCTCTGTTTGGGGGATGTGGTGAGTTAATTCACATAAAACTATATCATACATAGCAGAGTAAGTGTTCCATCACCACTACTTAAAAGAGATAATAAACAACTGCATCATTCTTTATAAGCTAACTTGTGCTAAAATTCAAAAGTTTCAATTGCATAAAATGAAACTTTGATATTTTTCTCCTGATACAGGTGCAGCACAGGACTCAGGGTGATGAAAGCCCTGCCGCTGGAGTTTTAAACGTCCATCAAGAAAAAAAAAAAGAGAAGATGAATAATTATCACACAGGGTTTAAGTATCTGCTCCCTGGAAATGACATAGATCATTTCTATTTATATATCTGAGTTGAGGTACATTACTTAACTGCATTTATCAAGATTGGGTAAGTCCCAGTCCTACCATACACTTGAAAGAAAACAAAGATTATTTATGAATTGATGTAGTGTTTATAACAGTAGTCTTTAATGTTTGCAATTTTAATTTTCATTGTACTATTTTTAGAATAAAGACATAACTTGTTAGAGATATGCAATTTATTCCATTTTGAAAAAGCTTTATTTGAATCCTCCTTATATACAATGCACAGGAGTTATCAAAATGGAACCCAGAGAGTTCTCATACAAACAGTGCTGATAATGAAGTGGTAAGACTATTGTAAGTATATATAATTTTGTTTATATATATATTCTAGAAGGATACTCTTCTAAATAAAATAACTTTCAGTCACAGAAAATTAAGTAGTAAATTCTCTCTAAAGAATTGAAGACCTATATATAAAACATCTCAAGTAGATGATGACTGTGCAGAAAGATACAGCAGATGAAGAAGGCCCAACCAACTAGAGACAAAAAGAGAAAAGGCAGCATAGTGTGGAAGTGGCTCAGGACCACAGGTTAGCCCATTTTGGGGAATTTGAACCTAGGAAGATTGGCTTGGATCTTGCTAAGGTCAGTGACTATTGCAACAAATGGTCAGGCTTTATTCTTTTTGAATCAAAGAAATGATGTGATTTTAGATCAGGGGCATCAATGATCAAGTTTTTACTTTGCAAAGATGGATTTGTAATTTTTTTTCTGAAGGAGAGAGAGAATAAGATTTTAGATCCAGGAGTACAGACTTGAATTTTCTCCAAAGTCATGAAAAGCTCATTGAAATTTGGAAGGAGGTATTTGAAAGATAGATTTAAGAGAGTGTAGCTGTATACCATGGGAATGCTGACCAACTGAGCGTAATCATTAATAAGGGAGGAAAACAATAAACACAGCAATATGACTCTGAGGAGAAAAAAAGAGGTAACTGGCAGTAATATTAATTGAGGGTCAGAAACAGAGAAATGTTTAATAATGAAATGATTTTAACTTGCAAAATAGTTACAGTTGTTTGTAGAAATGTCATGTGCAACTGCTTAGTAATTAGAGATACTAACATGCAAAGACTGTAAAGAGTGGAAACAGAAAGTACAAGAACATGAAAAGACAAAGCAGAGACAGATCTTCTGTACATGACATGTGAATGTGCATGTGTGTTGGTGTGTGTGTGTGTGTGTGTGTGTGTGTGTGTTCCTGTGTGTATTTAGAAGTAGATGAGGAAGCAAGTGACAAACTAAGCAACACGGCAACTAAAAAATGACTGGTGATTTTTGTGTCAGTTTGCTTAGTTGTAGTTGGACAGTGACAGCATAATCCAGTTTGACCTGAGATGATGAGAGGATTAAACTGGGGATGATGAAGTGGATTACACATTCAAGAAATTTGGCAGAAAAAGAACAGTTATTTTCCCATAGCTGTACACCTTCCAGTCACTTCCAATCTTCCTGCAAATGAAACATGAAATTCTCATCAAGGGATACAAGCTTCAGCATTATTTGGAAGCCTTTGAGTTCATCTGCGCTACTCTCCGCACACTCCATTAGAACTAACTCTGCTGCAGTCGTAGAGTTCCTTGGCTGTCCCTTGAATGAAATATATGGCCTCTGCCCTATCTCTGGCAGTTACGTTTACAATTTTAATACTTTTACAGTTGTCCAGTCAGCACTCCCCTCACTCTTTCTGGTCAATATCACCTTAACAATAATCTTCTTATGGAGAGAGTTTTCTTTGAATCTTTTTTATTAGTCCATGTTTCCTGTACATAGTGAATGCGTTTGTCCCAGGGAGTTGGTGCATAAACATAACACATCTTAATTGCTTTCCTCCCTTTACCTTCTCCTCCTTTCCCCTTCCTCCATCTCTTGCTCCTCCTTTCATTTGCATAAAGTTTGTCTCCATTTTCTCCATCATCTATCTTTTATGTTTATCTTTATTTATATTTTGTTTATCATATAAGAGAAACTATGCAATAATTAAGCTTGTAAGCTTGTGTGTCTGATGTACTTCACTTAACATTATGCTGGCAAGGTGCATCTGTTTTCCTACAAATGACTCAAGTTTATCCTTCATTATGCAAAGTAGTGCTCTATTGTGTATAAATACCATATTTTCTTTATCCATGCATATTGATGGACATATAGGCTGCTGCTAAGATTTAGCTATTGTCAGTCATGTTGCTATAAACATGGCTACACATGCATCATTGTAGTATGTCTTTGGTTCTTTTAGAACAGCACTAAGAGTCCAACTTACTGAAGAATGAATGGCTATCCTCAAGAAAACACATAACAACAAATGTTGGAGAGGCTTCAGGGAAAAAGGAACTCTGCTAAGTTGTTGGTGTGAATGTAAACTAGAGCAACCCCTATCAAACCAGTATGCAGATCCTTCCAAAGACCTAAAAGGAAAAATGTTGTTTAACCCAGGATTCCTCTTATAGGCATTTTCCTAAAAGTTTTAAAAACACTATATTATACTGATACATGCAATAGACTTCTTGGCCACCTGATTTAAAATAGTCTACTGATTTCCATCACTTCTAACATGAATAGTTTCCTTTCTTTTAACACTATTTTAATTTAACATTAATGATGCATATATTTTTCTATCCTCCCTTCTGCCTCTCACTTCCACTACAAGTTAGAGAAGAATAACGATGCCTCTGGACTAATGCTAAATTCCTTCTACCTAAAATTTGTCATAGTAAAATCTTGGAAACAACCCAAATGCCCATCAACTGAGGAGTGGATAAAAAAATGTGGTATTTTTATACAAGGGAGTATTACTCAGCTATAAAGAAAGATAAACTTGAGGCTTTTTATAAGTAAATGGATACAACTAGAAACCATACCTATAAGTGAAATAAATCAGACCTACATGTGTGAACACAATATTTTCTTCTGGAAAGTGTAAATAAAATATGAAAGATACAGTAGATATTGTGAAAGAGAAAGGAACTGCTCAATAGGAAAGAACAACTGACATTAGGGAAAAGAGAAAAGAAAGAAGGAAAGGAGAAAAATATATGTATGTGTACACAAGATAGCTAAACTAATTGTATTATTAATTTCTGTTTATTGAAAGAAGAAGTTAATGTTTAATTGTTTAATCAGTCTTGCTTACCTGTATCTGGTGATCTGAGCAACTACTTTAAAGGTAACAATTAGTAACACAACAACCACTATTGATTTCCTATCATTTGTTTTGAAATTCTGTATCATTTTTATAGCTTTTGTGTTGTTTTTGTTACTTTGTTTTTGTTCCTTTCTCTTTAAAATAATAAAAGGAAAAAATAAAATAGCTTCTGGCATGTACTAGATGTTCAATAACTGTTAGATATATATATAAAATGTATGATGGTATGTGCGGTACATAGAAATATGAGCTGCAAAAAGAATTTTCTCATTAGAGGTAATTTGGTGGATATTTTTGAGGCCACAGAACCAGTATGGAGAAAAAGATATTGATGACAACATGAAAAGAAGTAGGGTATAAATACGATGAAGCACTATTCTAGGAGAGATGTGTGCAGAACAGGGTTGAATCAAAGCAAAAAGTCAGGAATGAATCTGAGAAAAAAAAGTGAAAGAACTTTTCTCCTTCAAATTTAAGGGGAAATGAATGGATAGACTGAAATACAAAGGAAACCTGAAGAAAGAAAAAAGAATTATTGATTGTTAAACTATGAAACAGACCTCTGTGATAGACTGGAAAGAAAAATAGGGCAGAAGCTAGGGGAGAAGCAGAGGATGGAAACTCTGAGTGTGTGGAGAGCACCTCGGTGTTTCCTGGAAGTCAGTCTAGGACAGAACTTCTCCGCGGCATCGCACTTGTGTGGCAAGTTACTTCCAAAGTCATCATACTCCCAGACAGAACTTTACAATGTGTCCTCACCCACCTTTTTACCGGATCTGACACCACGTGACTTCTGATTCTTCCCTTAAGTGAAAATGACCACGGGAAGGTAACATTTTGATTCTGCTCTGAACAAGGAGGCAGGCAGGACAGGGCAGCTGAAAATAGGAAGACTTGCATAGCTACTTCAGAAAGTGGCATACATGATGCCACAAGTGTGTTTGAAGTGAGGGTGTGCAGTTTGAAAGAGCTTAAGAGCAACACAGTGTATAATAAATTGTTAAAATCCAAATATTCATATGTTATTATACCTTACAGACAATAAAACAACCTGGCTTTGGTTTTCTTATAATCGCAGAGTGAACATGCAAGCATCTAGTATTTTTCTCTCTGAGACAAATTTTTCTCTTAATTCCTGGCAGCAGTCATCACCGTTTTTCAGGATAACAGTTGCATAACGTCTATGGGAAAAGAATACAGCAAATCTACAAATATATGGTGTTCTAGATGTTTTACTATATGTTTCTGGTACTTTTAGCTGTTCTGGCATTAGAAAAAATAACAACATATTCTTCTATCGATAAAATAATACATGCACATTAATGTTAAACAAAAATTACACAATTTCACTACTCAAATGATAGCTTATTAATTTTTTTGTTTTATTCTTTCTCTGCATCTGTATTAAACTTTTAAGTGCTCCATCTAATAATATATATCATTCTACTGTTTAAATTTGTTCCTATTTACTACAATTAGAATTTTGTCTGATAAGTAAGTGCTCATGTAAAAAGTATATTTTTAATTGTTGCTTAAATGGATTTTATTCTACCATAAGCTACTTATTCAGTCATTATTCTATTTGGGATTTCTGTTTTTTATATTAAAACATTGTGACAAAGATTTCTCTACATATTTTTATCTACAAAATTCTTTGAAACATTATTTTTATGTAAGACTACTCTAGACCTTTGTTTTTAAACCAATATATCAGACAGTACAGAATAAAGCACCCAATAGATGTTTGTTGATGCTGCTACTGTCCAAGTGATTGCACTTAAGTTGTGTTACCTTACTTAAGAATACACAGTTTTGAAATTTCATGATTGTGTGCTCAAAGTCTGTTGATATTCTGCATTTTTAAAACTTAGATAAAAGAAATATTTTATAATACATATGCATGGATATACTAGATTACACGTGCCAAAGTCAGTGTTTGTATCATACATTTTAGAATTATCATGGAAAGCTATATTAGTTTAAGTTTAATTGCCAATAATAAATATTTTAATCAAGAGCAATAACTGGATACTTAGGGTTACTTTAAAATGTGTTCTTTTTAAACCTAAGTGGATTTTTAAATTTTTATTTTTATTAGCACATGTTTGCAGTGCACAAAGATTATATCATTGTGGGAAGCTGGACATGTAA